AACTCTTAAACAAAATTGTAACAGCACTGACTACCCAATTTGTTATACAGCAAAGAATAATAATAATGACAGTGCTGGACCCCTTTGAAGAACTGCTGGGTCCCAGGGGCTACTGGTACTATCATCAAAACGGAGATTATGACACGTTACAGATCTAGCTCTGTAGGTATAACAAATGAAGACAGGACGTATCTGCAAGGCCAATACAAACAGCACAATACAAAAGTGGGAAGGACCTATATAGACAACACACCTAGTCTTATATTTAATTTAAAAATAGGGCAAGTATTACATAAAAGTAACAATTATAATCGGACATCTTGACATTGTAACAGCAGATTTCAACTCAGATCATATGGCATCATGATATTGTAACAGCAGATTTCAACTCAGTCAGTCAGATGTGTGGGACCACTGGCCATGCTGGCTGGAGGTAAGCCTTTTCAAAGTATCCATTTTTTAGATTGTGGTCCTTCAAACAATATGGACTTCAACTCCCAAAAATCCCAAACAACAAGGCGAACACTGTGAATAATGGGAATTGAAACTCTGAAGCACCTGGAAAACCACAGTTGAAGAACGACTACTTTAAAGGACTCACCAACATGATGCAGGAATGTGAACATCAATGAAGAGGCAAAAAGGTTGGCATAACAGAGATATAAGAAGTATCCTGACATTAGATTATACTGGGGAAGGTCATAACATCCAAAATGTCACTTTAAGAAAAATTAAGACCATACTATGAGGCTATATGTGTGGTTATGTGGGAAGAGTCAACAGAAAACAAAATTATTAGTTGAAATTAAGTACCTGGCATAAATTATTCACATTCCATGAATAAGAGGCGACAGGGCTAAATGTCCTAAATATTACACAAATGATTGGCATATACAAGACCGACAGTCAGGTTAAATCACAAGTCAAGCCATCTAAAGTGGAGGACTGGCGAACAGACCAATTAACATTAAGTTTCTGGAAGAACAGACACACAAAACAAAGGAAATAGCACATCTGGAAAGTCTTTTAAGTGGCCACTGATGTAAAATATGAACCAACTCTGTATTTTTGGGGGGTTTTTTTCATGTGAGGAGCGACTTGAGAAACTGCAAGTCGCTTCTGGTGTTAGAGCATTGGCCATCTTCAAGGATGTTACCCAGGGGACACCCAGATGTTTTATGTTTTTTACCATCCTTGTTGGAGGCTTCTCTGTTGGAGGCTTCTCTCACAGGGAGCTAGAACTGACATAGGGAGCTAAACCCGCTCTTCCTGGATTCAAACCACTGACTGACCTATCGGTCAGCAATCCTGCCGGCATAAGGGTTTAACACACTGAGCCACCAAATACTGTAAATAAATAAATAAATAAATAAATATGGAATGGCAATTGTTCAGTCCATATATAGCAAGGACACCTTTTTCCCTTGATTTTCTTCTTTTGGCACTTAAAGAGTTGGAATTTAGAGCAACTACTGTTTGTGTGAGCTCATATATGAGTAAGTGATGAACAAACTAAACATGCGTGTTCATGTAACTCACACTTTGCAGTTCAATCACATGTAGGAGGGAAAGATGAAATTCACCCACTGCTGCCTATAGCTCTATGTGTTCTGCTGCTCTGATTTATTTTTCTCCAGCTGATTCACATTTGGTACTGAATCTGAGTTGGTTAAGACTATGGGCAAGTAAGAAGAAGCCATACAACCACATCTTCCCATACAGTCTTTTCATTCCCACCATGTTTATAGTCAGACTTGTGTGCACATATTTAAGAAACGTGCACACAGGTGATTTTGCTGCCTAGTCTCTTGCCACTTCCACAATTCTAAAATCATACCTTAGAAAGAACCTGTATGAAGAAGAGGGAACCAGATGCTCCTCATGCCTCTATCCTTCTTTTTGGGCTAAATAACAAGTAGAACATGGGGTAGTACGACCATCAATACTATGTTATGAACAGATCATCTATGCCCTTTCACTTGTTTGCCCTATTAGTTTAGGCACTCTGGCAGTGAGGGCTAGCTCTGTAGCACTACAAGTAAAATGAACTATTGCCCGTATCCAATGAACTAATGAACTATTCCCTATATTCTTTCCCTTTCTGCAAGATAAAAACGAGGGCATTTGACTCAGCAAATCCAATCCTTCTTAGTATGACTACCAGAGGGAGAGAAAAGTACAAGCAAGCAGAAGTTATAGTGGTTCTGATTGAAACCATTACAGACTCCACTTATCAGTTCACATTGCTGGTCTCAGACACCACACTTGGTCCACCCTAAGCTGCACCAAGAGATAAAGCCATTGAGCAAGTAGAGTCCCCAAAATGAGAACAAATGATTAACCAAGAGCAGTAAAGGCCACTATTTCCAATCATCACACTCTAATTTGGGAAAGGAAATGAACTTGTGATTTGTTTATGGACCCAGACACTTACATAGTACCCTGCCTCAGAGGCCTGACACACAATTGACTTATTTTTGAATAAACGATGGTCACAAGGAACCAGTACTCTTCACTCCAATTAGTCACCAACCTATGAAGGCCTATATCTCAGTGGAAAGAGACAAGGACTGGACCACTGGGGCTACTGAAAGCAACTGAGCAACCGTTTTCTTTGATCACTTGATCTCCACCTCCAGAGGGTGCTGACCGCATACATCACCCATGCCCAGGTGGCTATTCTTCGCAAGAGTTGTTCCCTCATCCCTTCACAAATTCACTGGTGACCACAAATCAGCAGCAGTTCACAAATATCATATACTCTTCAGACAATGTTACAGAGCAGCTCTGTATATAAATATAATGTATTTCCTTGACTGTAAGACGCAATCAGTTGTAAGAAATTCAGGATCACCAACATAATTTTTTTTCATTTAGATACCGTATTTATCCATTATAAACCACAATTTATAATATTAATTCTAGCACAGCAACAGAAAAAAGCTATATCTATATATCTATACGTATCAATACTAAGAGGTACCCCATTTGTAGATACATTTATTGGAGAGGAAAGTGAGCTTTTGAATCGAGAAAATACAGTACATTAAAAGTTCCCGCAATTCTAAGGTGGGAATTTCTGCCTTGATATTCTGGGATATAGGGGAATGTGGAAGGGCCCTGGGTCATATGGCTGTGTGGAAGGACCCTCAGATAACCCAATTCAATGCAAATATGGTGGGATTTTCTGCCTTGACATTCTGGGATACAGGGGTGTGTGGAAGGGCCCTGGGTCATATGGCTGTGTGGAAGGGCCTTCAGATAACCCCACTCAAAGCAGATATGGTGGGATTTTACTGACTTGATATTCTGGGATACAGGGGTATGTGGAAGGGCCCTGGGTCATATGGCCTTGTGGAAGGGCCTTCAGATAACCCCACTCAAAGCAGATATGGTGGGATTTTCTGCCTTGATATTCTGGGTTATATGGCTGTGGAAGGGCCCTTGGATAACCCCATTCAATGCAGATATGGTGGTATTTTCTGCCTTGATATTCTGGGATACAGGGCTGTGTGGAAGGGCCCTGGGTTATGTGGCTGTGTGGAAGGGTCCTGAGATAACCCCATTCAAAGCAGGTATGGTGGGATTTTCTGTCTTGATATTCTGGGTTATATGGCTGTGTGGAAGGGACCTCAGATAACCCCATTCAATGCAGATATGGTGGGATTTTCTGCCTTGATATTCTGGGATATAGGGGTGTGTGGAAGGGCCCTGGGTCATATGGCTGTGTGGAAGGGCCCTCAGATAACCCCATTCAATTCAGATATGATGGGATTTTCTGCTTTGATATTCTGGGTTATATGGCTGTGTGGAGGGGCCCTCAGATAACCGCATTCAAAGCAGATATGGTGGGATTTTCTGCCTTGATATTCTGGGTTATATGGCTCTGTGGAAGGGTCTGCAGATAACCCAATTTAATGCAAATATTGTGGATTTTCTGCCTTGATATACTGGGATATAGGGATGTTTGGAAGGGCCCTGGGTCATATGGCTATGTGGAAGGGCCCTTTGATAACCCAATTCAATGAAGATATGGTGGGATTTCCTCCCTTGATGTTCTGAGTTATGTGGCTGTGTGGAAGGGTCCGCAGATAACCCAATTCAATGCAAATATGGTGGGATTTTCTGCCTTGATATTCTGGGTTATGTGGCTGTGTGGAAGGGCCATGTAACCCAATTCAAAGGTTTGATGGGATTTTCTGCCTTGATATTCTGGGTTATGTGGCTGTGTGGAAGGGCCCTCAGATAACCCCATTCAAAGCAGGTATGGTGAGATTTTCTGCCTTGATATTTTGGGATATATGGCTGTGCGGAAGGGTCCGCAGATAACCCTATTCAAAGCAGATATGGTGGGATGTTCAGCCTCGATGTTCTGGGTTATGTGGCTGTGTGGAAGGGCCCTTGGTGGTACACAGGGTAGGCCTGGTCGGGCCCTTCACAAGAGGAGAGCCCTGAAACACAGCCTTCCCGCAAAGACATGCTGCCCAATGGCCCCAACAACCTGGAGCCTGCGTTGGCGAAGTTGGTGTGAGCAGGTCCCTGAAGGGCCTGGCGGGCAAGCAGCAGCTTCAGGCAGCGAGGAGGGCCCCCTGCGAGGAGGAGGAGGAGGCTGCCTGAAGGGGCCATTCAGGCGCGCGCGCCAGGAATTCGTTCGGCGTGACCCCTGACCCGGGGCCCCTCTCCCCCTCCCCTCCCTCCCTCCTTGCGGAAAGGCCGGCCCCTCCCCTTGCTGGGCAGAGGGGACCGCTGTGACGCACTCAGGGGCCCTGGGCGCGCGCAGGAGGGAAGGCAGGCGGGAGGGAGGGCTAGGCGAAGGGAGGGGAGGAGAGGGGAGGGCGCCCGCGAGCGGGAAAAAAAAGAGGCAGCGCAACGGCCGCAGCCCTGCCTCGCACCTCTCCCCCCTCTCTGGACGCCACAGATGGTCCCGCCCGGACCCCCCGCGCCAGGGGCTCGATGGTCCGGCCCGACTCTCCCCCACCCCTTCCCCTCGAGTCACTCACAATCTCTCCTCATCTCCGCTCGGCGCCGCCGCCGCCATTTTCTTCGCAGCGAAGAACCCGCGGGAGGGGGGGGAGAGGAGGGGGGGAAACCGAGCCGGAGAGGAAACCCGGAGAGCCAGGCCCCGCCCTCCTCGGCTGCCATTGGGCGGCGCGCCCCATCAGTCAGGGCGCCCCCCGAGAGCGATTGGCCGGCGCCCTTCCACACGGGCGAGGCGGCCCTGCTTCCTTGCGGCCGTTAGAATTGGCGGGAAGCGCTGTCAGTTACAACGGTACGAAGTAGGCCGCGGAGAGGAGCCCGCGCTCTTCGCCATTGGCCCTCTCTCGCGACCAGGCCTCAAGGGTTTGGAAATGCCGCCCCTGAGCAGGCCGCTCCCTGTCGTCATGCGAGCCACCTTCTCAACATATGTCAGGGCTGTCCCTTTCATGTGGCCCAGCAAGTAGCATCAAGGTCATGTTTCCACAGCTTCCTGAGAAGACCAACAGACGGTCGCAATTCACCTCAGGGCCTTTGACTGAACAGCCGAACTGAACAAATAATATATTTCCGTGAATGACAGCAATTCTTGTACCGTGACAGCACAGATTCCCCCAAGGACTGTTTTACCCACATCACAGGCATTTTGTTTCCTCCTCAGATGGTCCAGCGTTCTCACCCACACCTGTAAAGTACCGCATACATCTTTACCACAGCAGTGGCAGAATTCCTAGTGGCAAATTCACCACCATAAGAGGCCAGCTGAGGCGATGTACTTCACTGCAGGGATAGGAAATAGTGTGGCTTTGCTGACATACCTCTTATTGGAAAGCAGATGTGCTGCAGTTCTAGATGGGGAAAAAACACTCCCTCTCAGGTGAGAATAACAAACAAACAAAAATCCCTGTCCTATTTTGAAAGCTAAACACTAAAGCAGGGGTCCTCAAACTAAGGCCATTAACCCGGCCCTTGTTCAGGGTCAACCTAAGTCTGAAACGACTTGAAAGCACACAACAACAACAATAGCAATCCTTTCTCATCAGCCAAAAGCAGGCCCACACTTCCCATTGAAATACTAATAAGTTTATATTTGTTAATATTGTTCTTCGGGTCCTCAAACTAAGGCCCGTGAGCTGAATACAGCCCTACAAGGTCATTTACCCGGCCCTCGTTCAGGGTCAACCTAAGTGAAACGACTTGAAAGCATACAACAACAATAGCAATCCTTTCTCATCAGGCAAAAGCAGGCCCACCCTTCCCATTGAAATACTAATAAGTTTATATTTGTTAATATTGTTCTTCGGGTCCTCAAACTAAGGCCCGTGAGCTGAATACAGCCCTACAAGGTCATTTACCCGGCCCTCGTTCAGGGTCAACCTAAGTGAAACGACTTGAAAGCATACAACAACAATAGCAATCCTTTCTCATCAGGCAAAAGCAGGCCCACCCTTCCCATTGAAATACTAATAAGTTTATATTTGTTAATATTGTTCTTCATTTTAATTAAAGTGTTTTTTGCACTACAAATAAAATATGTGCATAGGAATGCATTCATGCTTTTTTCAAATTATAATCTGGCCCTCCGACAGTTTGAGGGATTGTGACCTGGCCCTCTGTTTAAAAAGTTTGAGGACCCCTGCACTAAAGGATACAATAGACACCCTTCAATATCTTGAGAAAGGACGTGATGTGATTAATTTTCATATTCCTGACAGAACTGTTAAAACTGTTGAAATCACTTAAATTGTCAAAACTAGTTTATTCCTCTGTGTGCCCTTAAATGGCCTCTTGACATATAGAAACCCTGTCAATTTCATTTCTTCAGCAAGGAATATTCAAGGCAAGCATGTATCCGGGGGGGGGGGGGGCTGAGGGGCTTCAGCCCCCCCCCCCCCCGAAATTCTCATGGTGGTACGCGAGAAGGCCTTACTGATGCATTATTTAAACTTGTGTTTATTCATATCATGATCTGATCACCATACTCAATATATCCATATGCATGGGGGTATTGGGATAACGATACAAAAGGTTTGCTAGGATAGACCCTCTTTCACTCAGACTCAGCCCCCCCGAAACAAACTCACCCCCCCACCCCGCCCCCGAATCAAACTCACCCCCCCCCCCGAATCAAAATCCTGGCTACAGGCCTGATTCAAGGAGTGGCTTGCTACGGACTCACATATAACCAATAACACCTTGAATTCTCCCATTATTATTCTTATAATGCAATTTGTTTCATAAAGATCAAGTAGAAAGAATATATTGTAAAGAACAAAAATAACTTTCTGGCCTTGCATTGCACATTTTAGTGCAAATATTAAGACACAAATAGTGTTCAGTTCATCAAGTATTGCAGAATGTCATGCCAGTCTTATTTATTTATTTCTACTTTTCTTCCGAATCGGAATTTATTTCTACTTTTCTTACGAATCGGGACTCAAAGCAGCCAACACCATGTAAACAAAGCATATACATAAAAATAAACATAACCAACAGATCAGAACATATCTGATAAAATTATAAACCCGCAACACACGTGACTAGCAAAAAACAATTTATTCCGTAGATTAAAACCGCAAACTAAAACTAAAATCCATTCTTTTAGGCTGTTGTCAATGATTGGGCAAATAAATTTTCTTCAAATCACAATTTTATAAATAAAAATGTATCATTTGTTTACCATATTGTATTAAACACAGAGACAGTTACATAAGCATGACCATCAAATAATATCATTATGAACATTTGGCTTTTGGAATAGTTTCTATTCCAATATAATTTCCTTTGGATAAAATGGTGCTTGCTCCCCCAGAAAATTAGAAAAATTAACTTTAACTTAATTCAGTATATAGCAATGAATGTGGAAAAATTTGAATTTTAAAGGGTGTTTTTTTTTAACCTGAGAGAGCATAACTTTAGGAATTTCTAAGTCAGCATGACTTTATGATTAACTTCCAGTGGATGTTGACTGTAGAATTGTGCTGGAGAATCTAGACATTCTTACAACATAATTATCAAATCCGCAAATGTGAAATCCAGGAATATGAAAGGTCATCTGTAAATCCAGACATACACTTCATATGAGTATCCTGTGCTAAAAGCAGTGTAGCCATGTTTGTGCTATAAAAAGCTACCTCATAACATTCATTTATGCAAAATAAGTGAGATGGAGGAAACCAAGTGGAAGACATGTTTGATGTGGCTCATACCACTAGGAGAAACAGAGCTGATGTTGAAGGCCGCAAGGCAACCAATTGCTGTCAGTTGGAAAAGGTATGCCTTTCTCCCTCATAATGGTGAGCAGTGTTGGGAATGACTACTTCTCTTGAGTGTCACTTTGATAACTCATGCCAAATAAATATACACAGGTACAAGTGAAAACGAGCTGATCACAAGAGTGGGAAAGGTGTGGAAATGGAACAACAGGAAGCTTTACTGTCCCGTCATTTGCCATGTGCATGCATTAGACACGCATCTTCCCCCTAATGAATGTTGAAGTCCACAAATGTATAGAAACCTTGATGTTGGAGGCCCAATACAGAAGCTGTCAAGCAGAACTTAATTTTCTAGGATTAAAAATAAGAATGTCAATGATGTGCATAATTTCACATTTTTAAAACCAAAGCCCACAAGAATTGTGTCCATCGTATCTATTATCTCTGCAATCCTTCCACATCACACCAGAAGTTTTCTCTGGCCACTATTTGTTTCACAACTACATTTTCCAAAATTCATTTCTTATAAGACATGTGGGTTTTTAGTATATCTGTGACAAAAAAATATTATACATATATAACCTAATGTCAGTGTACATGCATGACAGATAAACCATCATTTACTAAATTCTAACCTTCAGAATACCTGCTAAACACATGGAAGCCCTACAATTTTTTTTTCACAGCCAACCTAAAACTGTCCTAGTCTCATCAACTGAACTACAGTCATGTCTTTTCACGTCCATTTGAACTGGATAAACATGTCAGAGTCCCTCTGTTATTCTCTTCCTGATCACAGTCTTACTCAGATTGGAATCCTATTCTCCCACCCACTATTTATATAGAAATATGGCTGAGTCATTCAGTGGATCCATATGATGTCCTATACAATCACTTCGTACATACACACAAACAATACAATCTCAACCCTGCATCAAAGCTGCACTGTCCCTACATATGTTTGACACACTAATTTGAATCACAATAGTGTTCCTTTTAAAAATGAACTTGTAGACCAATCTGTTTCACAAATTACGTGTTGCTTACAGCATTTTAACACATTTTCCTCATTACTCTGTTTTGTAAAACTCAGCCCTTTCATAAATATTTTAAAAAGATAATTTCCTTCTAAATGCGTTTTGTTCTATAGCTTTTAACATAATACGGGAAATGAGAAAAATCAGGACTAGAGTAAAAATATATAAAAGTTTAAATATATTTTATATTTGTAGTATGCAGTCATTCCAGCCGAAAAGTATTGTGATAGGTTTTAGAATATATTTGTGTGTTTCAACTGTTTTATATGTTTGTATTTTCCTTATACTAAAATTTCAATGATTAAGATTATTTTGTGGGAAATATTTCTGTGATTTTTTTTATTTGTGTAAGTATTTTCCAGAAAAATATAGTCTTTATACTAAAACCATCATCCAAGCATACTGACAGTACAGTTCTATGATTGTTTAGCAGAAGTGAGTTCTGTTGTGCTCTATAAGTATTGCTCCTAAGTAAATGTAAATAGATTTCACTCTAAATACAATACTGAATATATCTTCTGAAAAAAGCCACACTGAAATAATCAGGTCACAGCAAAATAAATATGTACAAGATTCCAGTGTTTCCAGATTTATATAAATCTCCAAAATCTTGTGGTGATCTTTTATTGATCAATCAAAAGGTGCAGTGCAATATGTGCAATTATTCTAATTATATGAGCATTTAAGCCATGATGAAATTAATTGGACACTTTGTTGTTTTTAATTTCTCTCACGTCTACTTTGACTTGTGGCACCCTATAAATGAGAGAGTTCCAAGTCACCCAGTCATCAACTCAATTCATGCAGATTGAGGGCCAATCTTCTTTACTTGATTGATTATATCCCCTGTTCTTGCTGTCTTTCTTTTTCT